GTTTTTAAAAGCAAACACCACTTGAGGGACTGTCCCCAGCTCCTGCCGGCCCCTGGTTCTGAGCTTGCTTGTGACACTGGACACAGGAGCTGAGCCAGAGAGCATCACAAAGAGGTAACACATTTGAAGACAGAGCTGCTCGTTTTCTTCTTTCCCCCCCAAACAGTTTTTCCATGCAATTAGGTCACATCTGAAAGCCAGCACACAGCAGAAGTTGAGTTACTTTGTTTAAAACAAAAACATGTATTTCTATCACCTTAGGAGTTGTTTCTCTTCTGGCACGGGGACCCTCTGATCCTCCCACCTCCTTTTATCAGCATCTTCAAAAGAAAAAGGAAGTTATAATTGCTTTCTCCCCTCACCTTAGGAAAAATAAAGGGAAAGGCTGCTGCTGTTCTCTATTGGCATCTTGAAAAGAAACATGCTTTGAGCAATCATTTATTTACGGAACAAAAATAACATCCAGATTTCAAAGGGCAGAGCAGTTCAGAAGAATAAGGCTCACTCCTCCCTCCCCTGCCATCAGCTTTTACTTAATACCACCCTCCATCTGCACAACCTACTGTTCTGCCTCTTTCCTCGTTACAGGGGCACACGCAGGCTGCACTCTTCCGAGCATGAGTGCTGCAGCACTCTATCAAACCTGTAAGTCAAGGCAAAAAGTGGGATATACCTTTAAAAGCAGAAGAATAACCCTAAAGAATTTGCAATTCTCCTAGCTTCACTTTACCCCCAACTTCTTGATAAAGAATAAGCCTCAGAGATTAGAAAATATTTCACTTTTTATATATTGGAAACCAGTAGAAGAACCCATCCCTCTAATCATCATGTTTTGCTTTTTGCTACAGGTATCGTGCCTGTAGAGAAACAAGGAGCAAAAAAAAACTTGGAAGAAACCAGCAGTCCCATAAGCCTGATTTCTTCCAGCTTTTTGATTTTTACCAGATTCTTTGGTCCTCTCTGAGTCCTGCCATTCAAAGCACCACTCTCCCAAAGCACGTTTGCGGATGCCTGAACTGGACACATTCAGACGGGGGGAATGAGGAATTTTCTGTCACACGAAGCCATTAATTTCTACAAAGCCTGGTGATTCAGTGTCTTCACAGCCTTTATCAAAGGTGGCTGAAGTGAACCCAAAAAAGTCCATAAGCTTTTAGCAGGGACTGACTGGTAGGACTGACTAAAAGGCTTAGTTCTCTGTTAAGAGACCAGGCTGAAAATCTAACAGCACTCTGCCAAATCTCCATTCCTCACTGCCAAGCAGCTGGAAAAGGACCTACGGGGCGATGCTAAATCTTCCTTGGCATACTTCAACACCCCCAAATGCAAGGTTTGCAGGAAAAGCCTCCATAACATGGTCTCTGAAAGTAAAGAGCAAGACTGTTAAAGCTACAAAGAGATTCTGTCACAGCCTGCTGTAATCTGTTGCTTGGAAAAGCGAGTTTCTATCTAGACATTTATCAATATATTTACACATTTCAGCTGATGAATAAGTCACTCTTCAGTGTGTAGATGACTGAATAAAAATCTTACCTAAATCCCCCTGAACAGATACAGGTATTTCTTTTTTTATATGTCTTACAAATGAAGGCAACCAGTAAAAAAAGCCATTTATTAGATATATGTACAAATATACATACACATGCAAAATTACTTTATACACATTTACACAGGTTCAATTATTAACACAGTGCAAAAAAATGTCTAAAAAGGTACCAGCCCACCTCCTACAAACTTAGCAGGTCTTTGGGAGAAAGAAAAAAAAACCCACAGAAAATGATCAGCTTCATAAAGTGACTAAGTACGGCGAATCTGTAGGTTAATGAAGTTTATTCTTTGCCAATTTTCTTGTGCTGAGCTGCTCGGCGAGGAAAAGAGTTTCCAAAAGCCTTATCCTGAAAACTGACAGAATTAAGGAGACGCAATTCAAACTACATTAAACAGTTTAAAGTCGAACAAAAAGGGATGGATTCCTGTTTGGGGATTTGATTCAATAAAGGCATAATCCCACGTTATGAGTCAGATTTCATGTACTCAAACTGCAAGACATTCTTTTTTATTAAATCTTAAAGCACTGAGATCAATGTAAACTATTCTATTTCTCTTGCTGTTTCACCAGAAGAAAAAGTTTAACCCTTTAAATACCATACACATACAGGAGCCATTCTAAATACTAATACTAAAAATAAAGATAGGTCAAACTACACGTGCTCTGCCTCATCCTGGAATCACAATCCAAACCTATAAAGTGCGCAGATACTAACGCAGATAAATTAATCCATGCAGATTCCTTAACATGGTTTACACATACTATAGGAAAAAAAACCAAAAGGTTGCAAAGGGATTAAGATTAACAGCAAACCAGAGCTTCGTTCATTTAGTAGAAAAAATTTAGTGGCATCTTTCATCTAATCCACAGAGAAAAAAAAAAAAAATTTTACACAAAAGTGGAACTGAACGAAATGGTTTTGTTTGCTTTTACTGAAACATTTTTAGGAAAAATAAAATATTAACCAAAAGCTGAACTTAATCTTTATCCACTCTAATTACGTTAATTACACAAGCTATCTAAACACCTGTTCTGCCACTCTTACTGCAGAGCTGGTGCTACATCACCTGGCACAGGGATGTATTTGCTTTATGACAAAGCAAACAGGTGATCGGGAAGCATCAGGAACATCACAATTTCTTCCAATCAGCCCATTACAAGGACGAGGAACAGAAATCAGATAATGGCTCACTGCCCCATGCCCCCAGTGTACATGCTCTGTACACCTTAAGCTATGGCAGGCTGGCTCTACCCAAGCCTACGGAGAAACAGTAAATCTCTTCTGGACTCTTTAGCCAGATGGAGGCTAAAAGGACAAGAGCAGGGAGCTGGGTAAGATCACTAAGGTCCTTTTCACAAAGCTTTGTCTATCTATAGTATAAAATGCTTCAACCTTTCCCCAGAGGATGATTCCCCATGGCAACCCACTGGGCTGATACCCAGGTTTATGCTCCTGGAAAACACAATCAGTCTTCAGATCCAGTATCCCTCACAAAGGGTTAAGTTTCTAGCATCAGATTTTTAGGGGCGTCCTTTTTTTCAGATTTTTTTTTTTTTTAATTTGTAATCCATACTCATGGTTTAGAGAAAACATGGGAACTGAGAGTACTCTAGAGGACCTTACCGAGTAAAACTGGGACTGAACAGTACGAAAACTTAAAGCTTGTATAAAACCCCACATCGGTGGGGTAATCTGCATGTCTTAAGCACAACAGTTGAATGCTGTCTTCACTTTCTTACTTACACTCTGGCAGAAAACTGAGGTAATGACAAACAATTTTAATCCACTCCTTTACAACAGAAGAGTATTCCCTTACAGCACACAGCTTCAGCTGTTTTAACGGGCTTGCTAAAATATTCCTCCATCATTCCATTCCTCATGGTTTCAAAGACTTCATTATGCTTTTATAACAGAAAATGGGCTAACATGGGATGGAAGAGGAACACCTGCATTTTACTCGTGGAAAAAGCTCTGGCACCAGGTCTCCTGATGTCCTGGAAACTCTTCAGGCTGTAACGGGCTGCCTATCGAAGCCATTGTTGCTGTCACCTGTATCACACAAGTGCCTCCAAGTTTTGTTTTAGTAGCCCACTGATACTCACGTTCACATCATGAGATTTCAGGAAAATTCACTGAGATGCAAGGAAGTAATTTTGTTAAGCATTTCTGCAAACTCAGGAAGACAACTCTGCACCATGTTCATCTCTTTGCAACCGCTAGAGGTAGAGACTATGTGAGAGGAAAAGAAATCTTTGGTGAGAGACGTTTGGTGGAAGAAATGGTGTGACCAAATAATAGTTTCCTAAGAAAAAAATAAAGAGAATCCAGGACCACACTTCTATAATAACACACCTACAGTTCTCTACATCTTCTCAGTCTGAGTTCTCTACAATCCTTCAAGGACAGCTGCACCAAAATTCTATGAGTTTTTTTTTTAAACAAACAGCCTAAATTATTCATATATGTTCTAAAATGCCCGTATGCACCTCAATACATTACATACAAGAATATCCAGTGCAGCAGAGGTTAAGAATTTCAGCTCTTAAGTACTATATTCAAAAGTGCACACTCGTAAACTCAGCGTAAGAACTCAACACCATTAACTAAAGGTGTTTTATATAATAAAGAGAACCTGCTCTAGCTTTCCATTACTGGAAATGGCTTTCTACTTACCAGCTCTACATTTTTTTTTTAAAAAGGTGAAGGAGTCAGTGGCCTGTCATAAGTAGGCTTGGAAGAGTTATTATCTGTAGAGACCAAGCAAACATGGAATTACAGTGACCTTACCCAAGGAAATAAAGGCCACTTGAGATGAAAGATCACTTACATTCACTTGGTTTATTTTATGCTGCCCCAAGCATATTTGATGAGCACAAACTTAACTACAATGCACTGTTTAGCCAGGAGATATTTATAGTCTTTATGCTTTTTAAACAAGCCACAGCCTTTTCCTTTCCTTCAAAACCTAGAAAAATTACACAGAAGCTCATCCTAACAAATTTTCCCACTGATATTGAACTCATCTAATTATGGCAAACAACTCCTTTACTTACATTTACCAAGAATCTTCTCGCTTAACAAATTCTAAAGACAACAACGTTACCCATCACTTTATCTTCATTTTACTCTACAATTTTTGTTGGAAGCACCAGCAGGGCAACACACTGACCTGCCAAACTGTTCCAAAGCCAGTAAGACAAATGGCAAAATGCTGTCTAGATGGTATTAGTCAAGGAGTAAAAGCCTCTTTATGGTAAGGAGTACCTCCATCTGTTGATGACACCTGACAAATTTACCACCCACAATTACCACATGCCATAAATACAGCAACATTCCTCACTGTATGTTTGACATGGTGACAGTATCCTACTTTCATTTGAAGTTGCTTTGAAATATCCTCCTTCCAAGAACCGTTGTCACAAATCTTTAAAAATACTCCAAGCTATTTTTGGACAGTTTAATACAAAAAAAAAGTTGTAAAAATAGAGTAGCAAACCCGGAGTCTTTTTCATACGCCACAGTCAGGCTGTTTCTCCATAAGTTGCCTTGTCAGTATCTGATAAGAAGAAAGAGATGCCACTCCTATGTGAAAGGCGATTTGCCAGATGTTCCGTAATCCGTACAAGTAAATGTTGCATAAACAAACAGAGAAAAAAAGTACAAACGTCTTCACCTTCCTTGCTGAGCTGTAGAAGAGGTACAGGTAACACTACAAAAGGACCAGAGAGACAGTGTTAGCATTAAACTATGCACGTATAGACACAAGACACAGCTGGGAATTGCTGGCTTATCCATGGACGCGTCTGCCATCCCAGTGATCACTAAGAAGCTCCAAGCTTCCCTTCAAAGTCCCCTAAGAACAGCCAGAGCGGTGGCCTCAACCGAGACCCCACTGGGTAAGTCTGTCAGCACAACTGGCGTCCCTCCTGCCTGTCTCAGCCTGGATTAAAATGAGTCCGAACGCTGAGCCAGCTTTCAAAAACCACCTGTGATTTTTTGCAAGACAAAGGCTCAGAAGCAGGAGAAGAGCAAACCCAAATCTGCTTCTGCCGTATTTGTTCTTGGGATAAGGATTTCATTCTCTAGACTGGACTTGCTGGAAAGCCCATCATTTCTGTTAACAGGTTAAGTGAGGTTTCGGGCTCTTTTTCTTCTTAAATTCAAGAACAGGTGGAACCCATTTTCTAAGCATGTGTGAAAAGCAACAGTCCTTACAGGAGAAAACTAAAAACTCAAAGTGCTGGCAGAAGAGTTACTTTTTTAACTCAGGCAGTACCAGATCACGCTTTCCCACTTAAGGTCACCGTTTCCAACTGTGCTGATGACACAAGGAGAGATCAGCATGTGGAAAGCACTCCATGTTTGAGCTCTATTTATGCACAAGCATTTTGTGGAGATGCCTGCTATAGATCAAAAAGGATAAGAGAGAACTCTTCTCTATTTAGCTCCTCTAGCTTTAGGTAGTAACTGGAAAAAAAGCAGGACAGAGCCTCTCTTTGTGAAGAATGACTTCATCAAGTATTTGGATGCAAATTAATATCTCCATCTTAAAGCTCTGCCATGAGCAGACATGTAAGAAGGCTGAAAGACACTAAATTGTACCTATTGCGATACAATAGATAGACTCTCTGCAAGTTTTAAATACCATAGATAAACAGAAGTCTTCCCATGATGAAAAATTGAAGATTTTGCAAATAAAATATTGCCCTCAAGTTAAAGGTTGTTGACCTCTGTTTTAGGCATTTAAGAAACCTTTCAAGAACACCACATTTGAAGCATGTAATATTTTCCTCATTCAAACTCTTCTGCATAAGGAGATCAGAAAAATAATCCATTAGAAAAAAAAAATCTAAGGAAGTCAGGAACCACTTTTGTCTCAAGAATTAGAAGGAATTTGTAACATCGAACATTTTCAATAGTGTTGCTACCCTGTATTTGCTTAGTCTTTCAATGTGGTTACGCTACAGAAGCCCATCACTAAGTCTGCCGCTGTCAGAAAGACATCATGTCTAGCCCTTCAGGAATCAAACCATCTTTAAGCCAGCACTTATTTATCACATTCAGATGCATCTGGCGTGTCAAAACATGAAGGCACTGAAAAAGCTTGCCATTTGCCAAGGGTCAAATTGTGCCTTTAACTGTATTTGTGCCACTTCACTGGAATACCTCAGCAGAATCACTTAGGTAGGATCCTAAAAACCAAACTGTTCCTTTGCTTAACTGAGAATTATTGTGTCTCATATCTGATCATATAAAAAATAATCAGAAAGCATTTTATTTACAGTTAACATACCTGAAAAACACAGGCTAGAAAAGGTAGGATAAAAGCTATCACGTTTCCAATTCCTTCATGGTCTTCCTGTTGGGATTAAAAGAAGTGACAAACAACTGTCAACTACAGGTCTTAGCAACTACTGCTTGATATTTTAGAACACTTTATTTCATCAAGTACCTCTCATTCTAGTTTATGTTGATTGACTGTAGCAGGGTTAAACAGCAAGATCAGTATCATTGAACAAGATACCAAGAACTGAAGCTTATGCAACAATTCCTGATAAATAAAACTACGCCACCATACAATCAGAACGCTTTTCTTTTTTCTTCTTAAGAGTTGTTTATAATCTCAAATATGTTTAAAAAATTTACACAAAAGCATCTAGAATTAAACAAAAGAATGGAAATAAAAACACCAAACCAGCCAAGCCTGGCAAGACTAAAATATTTCTACAAATTTGAATCTCCCTGGAAAAGAATAAAATGCAGCGTGCTGCAATATACAGCAAAACACGAGGTCTAGAGGGTGAGCAATCAATTGTAGATTCCCTGGAGAAATAAAACACTTCTTCTGGAAAGATGTATGCTCAACTAAGAAGCAGAACAGCCACCCTTAATCTCCTTTTGACTCATTTACAGGTTCCAATTCAATCAGGGTTACCTGAAATGAATACTCTGCCAGGTGAACTCCTCGAATGAGATTCAAAGCTCCACACATGATGTTCAGAACAAGTGACAGAATCCCCAGGGGAGTCACACGCTGCATCCTGTAAGTAGGGACTTAAAAAAAAAAAAAAAAAATTAGTGAAAGTTAGCACTATTCCTTTGAATCTTTTAACTTAAAATGACTCAAATCAGCTTATGAGGGTTTTAAACATTTTCAAAAGCTTTCATGCTTGCTCCAGAGAAGACCAATTATTAACAGAAACACCTTTTTTTGTTGTTGCATTACACTGTTCAGTTCTTCAGACATCTAGAAACCAGCAAGAGCTCTGGAGTATTTTTTAAACAGATTCAGCAATGGAATGAGTTCTGGAGCTATTTGGCATTCACGTCTTCTTTTGTGGTGCACGTAGATCTTTTTCAACCGTTTACTACAGCAGATTATCAAAATTAACGCTCTTCACAGGTCAGCAGAAAAGCTAGAGGCTGTAACACCCAAAGGTCTGGAAAAGAGCTTAGATTTCTGACACCCATAAATGCAAGACAGCGCTCCATCTCTTCCTTAACTGATAATTACATACTTCTCCCCACCGACAGCTGGAGGGTTCAGCCTGGTGTACAGCAATTGAGTTTCACCTGGACACTTTCCACAGCATTTGGTGCCCTGATCGAGCAGTTGCCAGAACACAGCTGTAGGAGCCAAGGACTTTGATGCTCTGCTGCTGGAATAGCTATTGCAGGAGCTGTCAGGATGATACCACACAGTCACAGGGGGGAGACGTCTGTCACAGAACTGTTGCTCTTACTTCTGGAATTAAAAGTTTTCAGCCTTTGAGCAACATGTTACAGTGCATCACAATTCCCTTTCTCCCAATTAGTGAACTGTCTGTGTCCTTCCTTTCTCAACTTCTCTACTACTACTTAACACCCACACCTCCAATTATCATTTCTTCACGATGACCTAATTGATACATATCCAATTAAGGTCAAAGCGATTATTGCAAATGTGTATTTCGCTTTGGAATCTGCCGCTTCTAATTCAGGGTTTTGGTTGTCCAAAAGCTCACCTGTTTTTTTTCCTTAGCTACACTAGCTAGCCCAACACTAGACACCACACCTAGACACTTACCTACATTTCATCCCTGCCCTTGGATCAACGCAAGTAGAGCATAACAACAAGAAGGGTAATTTGCACCTCAGGTACCAAATCCAGATCCTCTCCTGCACCAACATCCCTAAGATACAGGAAAGAATGAATGAGCCCTCAAGAAGTCTCCCCAGCTCTCAGGATCTTCTCCCTCCTGTCCATATGTAGTCAGATAAACCAGGTGACACCGCAGAGATCACAGAATCACAG